CGAAAAGTAGACACTAGAGTCATATAGTGTCAAGAAAGAGGTCGAAAATGGGTGTAAATAGAGGTTTATGAAACCCGTTCGAAGAAAGCGATCCAAGTCGTTATTGATAGTTTAGTGAGCTCCTTAGAATGGATAATAACGAAAAGAGTAAAATTTACGATGAGAATTGCTAAAAGATGTCACTGGGAATTACCATATTTATAGCCAGAAAATATAGAAAGCATAAAGACTGAGGCTCGGTAAGGTGTGGGAGGGACGTACTTGAGAAATTATTATAGCCCGAAGCTTAAAAGTAAGTAAAACAAAAATGATCTCCTTCTATTGTGAAAGAGAAGAGTATTTATAAAGTTTTACCTCTATGGACTGGGTGATACATCCATGACTGGATCAATTTTGGATCCATCAGGGTGGATTTGTGCGATGCACTCGTGTGTTTTTATCATACCATCTTTATCTTTTTTTTTTCACATGTCTCGCAAACATGTTTTTGAGGTTTAGAGTGAGGTCACTGCTGTACGAGGAGTAGCATGCTACACAATGGAGCAAATGTCAGGGAGCTCATTCGATCACTTTTAATGCTTTAACCACTATGTGGAGTAGAGTTTGACATTAGAAATGTTGAGTCATATTTGAACAATTAAACTTGTTTTTTTGAAAAATAAGTAAATCTTATTTTGTTTGAAATTCTGATACGAAAATTGAGGTTGTGCACAATGCTTGCATTGATTCATTAATTGTACGTTTGACCATTCGATCTTCACGTCAATTCTTTTTTTTAATAGCATAGCTTCGGTAACACATTTTTCCGAAACAAAAAGTTTAAATAAGGCCATTACAAAGTGGAAATCGAAATATCATTCTAAAAGCCCAAAACAGTTTGGATCCAAATGAATAGATAAGTTTGAAAGTAATTTGACGCTTTTTTTTACACGTGTATTAATTTTCTTCCACACACCAAAAAACCTATCTTCATGAAACTTCACCACCATCAAGCTTCATCACGCCTCTCTGATCAACACCAAACTTCTCATGCAGATCTGAACCAATAACCAAATTGACTGAATCTTCCTCTTCTTTTACTTATTTTGTATGATATTCTGATACGAAAATTCATGTTGTGCACCATGCTTGCGGTGATTTATTAATTGTACGTTTGACCATTCGATATCCATGTCAATTCTTCTTTTAATAGCATAGCTTCGGCAACACATTTTTCCGAAACAAAAAAATCTAAATAAGGCCATTACAAAGTGAAAATCGAAATATCATTCTAAAACCCCAAAACAGTTTGGACCCAAATGAATGGATAAGGTTGAAAGTATTTGGCGCTTTTTTGACATGTGGATTGATTTTCTTCCACACACCTAAAAACCTATCTTCTTGAAACTTCACCACCGTCAAGTTTCATCACGCCTCTCTCATCACCACCAAACTTACCATGCAGATCTGAACCACCAACCAAAGTGATTGAATCTTCTTCCTCTTCTTTAAAGATAAATCATTTATATACATTCTTTTAACAAAGAAAATTTCATCCCACTGCCCAAAGCCCATGAAATCAAGGACGTAGATATAATTTAATCCTTCATCGAACAAAAGTTTGGGCAAAAAATAGAAAAAAAATGAAACATACATGTTACTAGAATTTATCGACTTTCATATGTAGAAACAATTAAAGATTAGATATAATAGGACAGATTAAAGCCATTTAATATAGAAAAAAGAAACGAAATTAACCCGAATTTTGCTGGAAATAATCAGAAAGAAAACGGAAACCAAATCTAGTTTTAACTAGAAACAACAAACTAGCCAGAATATATACACAGCCATGATGTCAGCCAACACGGGCCGTCGGACAGACACAAACCGACTATATAATAAGAAAATAAATGTGTGAAACAAATGTTTAAAACGTTGGTAGCTCAACAACCTTTTTATTTAACAATCCAACTGGAAGAGTCAAAAAGATCGGAAGTTTGGGTTGGAACAACAATTGATACAAAAGAAAAAATTGTATAACGATGAATATATCAAAAAGTATAGTAAAAAATATATAAAGCACACAACGCATCACCACCATAGGATTAGATTTGGCTCCCATATGAAAGTGGCTTAAAAATACAAACACATAAGTAAAAGCACATAGGAAAGTAGGCAACAGAACAGAAACAATTGATACAAAAGAAAGTTCAAAGTCAACGCTTTTTTTTTTGGGCTTCATCGTCACAATTACGCAAAGTAAACAACTCATTTCCTTTGCTCTATTCTGGCCTTCCTCTTCTCGTTGACAAAGAAGAAAACGAGAGCCAAGACGGAGAAGACGCTGAAGCAGATGGAGGCAATGTCTAGGGACGCGTGTCGGCCACTGATAGCCTGAACGCTGAAGAGATTGTTCTTCTTCGTGGCGTCGGTGCTCTGTCCAAAGGCAACTTCATGGTCCTTTTCGTCAACGGCGTAGGCACGAACGAAGTATGTCCCCGTGGGGATGTCCTTTGCTAAAGTGTACTCGATTGATTGAGCGGTCTTGTCGTAGGGCTTGGCCACGATCTTGTGTGGGCAAGTCTTGTCCTTGAAGAGCTCGTCATGGGTCTTGCGCCATGGTCGGTCCACTTGGCTGGGCGGAGCGTAGCATAGCTTCACTTTAATGGTCTTAAAGTCAGCATCCGATGCCGTCGAGCTTAGCTTCCATGAAATGCTCACTATGTCCTTTCCGGCTGCCAAAACTAGAAACCATACATCCAAATTCCAATATTGATCAGCCTTGATGTTAATAATTACTCAAGATGGAGGAATTAAAAGAAGTTGTATACATACCTCCTTCTTTGCTGGGTTTAGCGGTGACCTCAAGTGCATCTTTCCTCAGTTCGGAGAAGAGCCTTTCTTTGGTAGCCCCAAGACTGGTTTGGATCAGTAAGCACAGGAGAAGTGAAGCGAAGAGGATCTTGTGGATCGCCATGGATATCCTTGAATCTGAATATCTGCAAAATCAAGGCTTTAGAGGAGAAGAGGAATATGCCCTTGTTCTCTGACTTTTATGTTTGATAACAAAGGTGGGGTGCACATTTGACAATATATAGTGATTTATGGATCAAAATATCTTGGGGTTAGCATAAACAATTAATAGGCATAAAGTCAATGGTTTGGTGAGAGATTACCCTTTGAAGACTTGGGAAGATTGTGTTCCCTCTCTGGCACAAGTGTCTGTGTTGTCTCCGTCCAGCTGAGATGGCCCCTAAACATGCCAAAGGATCATGATATATTAGTTTCTGTTTTATTATTTATCATCAGAATAATTCAGTTTGAGATTCCAATCAATTCTATATTCCATGGACGATGTCACCTACAAGATCCTTTACATATTCTAATTATTATCTCGGCTTCTATGAATCCTCTAGAAAATGTATAACATGTTAGAAAATATAAGGAATCAGCACATATAATATGTTAGAAAATGT